GGGAGGTGGTGGATTCACCATCCCTGGAGGTTTTCAAGCTGAGACTGGATGTGGCACTTAGTGCCATGGTCTGGTAACCATGGGAGGGTTGGCTTGGTGATCTTGGAGGTCTTTTCCAACCTGGTTGATTCTATGATTCAATGACTTATTAGTACTATTTGTCATGATGAGTGGACTTTGATGCAGCCCATGGAATTCCTCTTGCACACACACACACAGCAGAAACCCAGTGTCCCATTGCTTTGGGGACATGGGGTGGGACAATCAGGGAGGGAACACTGAGGGATCATAGAATCATAGAATTTAAGGGTTGGAATGGACTCTATAGATCATCTAGTCCCAACCCTCCTGCCATGGGCAGGGACACCTCACTAGATCAGGATACACAAGGCCAAATGAGGATGGGATGTTCAGGGATGGAAATGGACCATTGAGGGATGGAAATGGGACCTGTCTGTCAGTGGCAGCCGCAGGATTTCACCACCATGTTCCGATGCTTCTTGAGGATGACGTTGTTGTTGCTGTCGTAGTAGAGGACAGAGGTGGCACTGAGCTTGGTGGGGGCACAGCACGCCTTGGGCACGGCCTCAGGCTTCATCAGGTGGACCTGGGGGATGGATGGAGCCCGTCAGTGAAAGCAAAAGTGGTTCCAGGCAGAAGAAAAAAAAAGCATCACACCAACTCAACTGCAAAAATCCTGGGTGAATGGGGAGATTATTTCCAGCTTTTTGCAAAAATATTTATTCTATACTCCTGCTGCAGTTTATATTGGATCAGGGCTTGTGGCACTGCGTGGGCCAGGCAGCCCCTTCATTAATTTGGGATTTCAGGGCCCTTTTCTCACAAAAATAGACAAATGACTAAACCAAAATACATCAGGGCAGCACAGGTCGAGCTCCGCTGTGGGTGGAGAGTGCTGGATGCTGTTGCAGTAGAGATTCTCCTCCCCAAAATTTAACATCTTCCACTCAGATCTCAAGTACACAACACCTCTCTGAACATGCCTTCCCCTTTGGCTCACTCATTCCCTGCTCAGGACTTGTGTTATCCCAGAAATTCACAGTGCAGCATCAGCCAGAGGCTCTGAGGCTGCTGGACACACTCAGCCCTCTCTGGCTGCACCCAACATGTGCAATTAATTTATGGCAGGGGCAGCTAAGCTCTCCCAGTTCGGAAGTTGGGTGTTTTTGCTGTCAAACCCTGCTATTTGCAGCACAGCCTGGGGCTGGCACAGCTCCACAGCTGCCTTTGCCCTGGCTCTTCCCAGAAGGGCTGGATCCGAGCGCCAGGTGATTCACATCCTGCCCAAACAGCTCCTTTTTGGGCAGAGTGTTGGGTTTAGGGGTGCTGGGTGGGTCTAAGGGGGAAGGAGAACCCTCCCTGGTGCTGTCAGGATCATTCCCAGGCTTGGATGGATCCTGGGATCTTCATTAATGGTAAAAATTAAACCCTGCCAGGTGACACCTTCAAAGGCTCAGCCCAGGGCTCGGCGCTCCCTGTAATTAACCACGAGCACTGGAGCTGGTGTGGCTCTGCCATTGGGAAACCAAACACTCACAGGGCAGGAAATTCCAGAAATTAAAGTACTGGCTGGGATGTGGGGTGGGTTTGGGAAAAAAAAAAATAAATGGGGCATTAAAGCTTTCCTGCTTGGAATATGCTGAGCCTAACGTTTGGGCACTGAGCTGCAGTGATGCTTTCCAGGGCTGGGGAGAAACCCTCGGGCACAGAGGAGGAGGAGGATGTCTGGGTGACACAGAGCCCTTGTGGGGGGAGTGGGGGGCTCCAGTGAGCCCTGGACTTGCCAGGGAAAAGGGGCAGAAAAAGAGTTTTTTGCCTCCACTGCTGCTAACCCGGAGCAGGATCATGTCAGCCAGAAAAAATCAAGAGATGGAGAAGCTCCAGAATTACAAAATCCCCCTATTACACCCTTCTGGCTCAGGCTGATGGGCAGAGCTGGTGACCTGGTGACCCCTGACACTTGTCTCTCTCCATGAATGCCTTGAACTGCTGTTTTCCATGGAGTCATAAAATTTGAAGGGTTGAAACGGACCTTAGAGATCATCCAGTGCCAACCCCCTGCCCTGGGCAGGGATACCTCCCACCAGCGCAGATTGCTCAAGGTTTTATCCAACCTGGAATGAACACTGCCAGGGTTGGGGCAGCCACAGCCTCCCTGGGCAACCTGTGCCAGTGTCTCACCACCCTCACAGAGAAAAAAAACACCTTCCTGATATCTAATCTAAACTTCCCTCCTTCAGTTTGTTTTTGGCTTGTTCAGTTTGGGGTTTTGGCACCTCCTGGTGAGCCCAAGGTGTGGGTCAGCCTGTGAGCACTCATCCAGATGTGCAAGGATCCATCCAGATGTGAGCATCCCATCCAGATGTGTGAGCTCACACTAATGCTTTACTGGGATCCAGAGCTGAACTTCACTTTCTGACACAAACACCCTCAAACCCAGCCATGCTCACCCCAAAATCCAGTTCTCCAGCAGAACCCACTGGGCTCCTCCTGCTCCCCAGGACCCCCCAGGGCTCCCACTGTGAGTTGCACTAACCAGGGACTGCAGGATGGCATGGTTGGTGGCATTCATGCAGGAGTCCAGGGGGAAGGCACACTCCCCCTCGCAGTAGTAGGCTGAGTACCCCTGAGGAGCAATCACCCAGTCCTGCAAAGAAAAAAAAAAGGGGTTACATCCAGAGCTTCACCCTTTCTGTTCCCCTTCAGCCATTCCCCACCTGCATAAACAGCTCAACCACCTCCTCCCCACGTGGCCATGCCAGCAACAAGGGTTTAGCTTGGGGTTTTTTAGACTGAGTTTGGGGTCAGGAATAGGGTTTGGGGTTGTGGTAGGTCATGTTTGCCTTCCCAGCTCTCAGGATGGGGTTGTGAATAGGCTTCCTCCAGGCTGGGAGGGAGCCCAAGGTTAGGGGAGCATGATGATGGAGGGTTCTTTTTTTTTGCATTTACTTCTCCCAGTAGACAAGTACCAGCCAGCCGAGGTCCTGAAAGCTGACGTAGAGCTCGTGGCGTCGGCAGATCTGTCGTCCGTCCGCGGCGTGGACATCATCTGTGGGAGAAGGGAACAGGGAATGTCAGTTCCTCAGTGCCATCCCTGCACAGGGCTGGGCTGCAGCCTCTATGACTGGGTTGAGTCCAGGAGGACCAAAGGAGAGGAACCTCCATTGTTGCCCAAAGGGAAAAGTAGCTTCAGACCAGTCTATCATTTGGTATTCCAATATTGGGATGAAGGAATTCAGCCTGGGAAAGGCTAAATCCCCTAAGAGAAGTTGACCTTGAGGGTTTCTCAAACGCAATGGGCTCAGGAGAGATGGGGCTTCCCACTGCCCTCCTGCCTGAGTGGCTTTCTGGGGCTGTGACACCTTCCCAGGGTGATGACACTTTCCCAGGGTGGTGTCAATGAGGCAATGAGGCAAAAATTCCAATATTCAGCAATCCTGACAAACTAACAAAACACCATTTCCTTGAGGGCATCCCCAAACCCTCTGCACCTCCCAAACTGCAAACAACCCCAATCCTAACAACCCAGAGCTCTTTCATAGAATCATAGAATGAACCAGGTTGGAAGAGACCTCAAAGATTATTGAGTCCAACCCTACTGTGGTTACCAGACCATGGCACTAAGTGCCACATCCAGTCTCAGCTTGAAAACCTCCAGGGATGGTGAATCCACCACCTCCCTGGGCAGCACATTCCAATGCCTGATCAATGCCTTTGCTCTGCTTCTCTTGGGTCCCAAACTGGGATTTCCAACAGGTAGGTCAAGGTGCTAACAGCAGGTCCCTTCCTCACCTGGTGTTTTCCTTGGGGGCTGCTCCATCAACCCACAAAACTCTTACCAAAAATTCCTGGGAGCTTGTTTGGATGTGGGAGGTCATTGGTCTTCTTGGGCTGGCGCCTCCTCGGGGCCTTGGCCGCTCGCGTGACACGCGCAGGGCTGGGACTGGCCCGGAAAAATGTCACCATGAAGGGTTGTTTGGAGCGAGGCCCTCGGCGCCCCAGCAGCCCTGCTGAGCCTGGGTCAACGCTGTGCCCTGCAGGGACAGGACCAGCCATGGGTTTGGTCTCAGAAAGAACTTGTTTGGTTAAAGCAAGGAGAAAAATAGAAGGATTTTGCAGTGGAGAGTTGTGGTTTTGGCATCCGAGGGGTTGGACACGCCTGGAGGTGATGCTTTGGGTGTATGACCTGCAGCTTGGAGGTGGCACAGCCACTCACACAGAGCAACTCAAGGATGGCAAATTTTCCCTTTTGCCCCTTGAGGAGAAAAACTCCTAAGGGAAGGAGATGGATGGGGCATTCCCAACTGTGATTCCATCCCCCGTGGGAGCAGAGATGCTCCAAATGTGCCTGTGCTCCTGCAGAAGGCATTGTTGGGGCAGATTTGATCCTGTGGGGAGAAGAGGGTTAATCCTCTGGCACACAAACAACAGGATCCCTCCAGGCAATGAGTTCATTAAGTGTTAATGGGGTTAATTATGGTCCATGCCATTGGGAGGCTTTTCCAGAAGGGTTTGCCTGCAAACCCAGACTTCTGGCACCCATGGGCTCTCCAGCACAGCTAGAAGTTGCAAATTGCTGTGAGATGAACCCATGGCACCAAGAGGATCCAAATCCTGGGAATTTGGCCCCAAAATGATGCCGGTAGGTTCACCAGACTCACCATCATCTGTCTCCACGTAGAGCCGCAGCCCCAGATTGTACTTCTGATCCACTAACCAGTGGTTGCTGGCAGCTGTGACATCAAACACCAACCAGCCCTCTGTCCCAGCACGCAGGTCCTGGACATCCAGCAGGAACAGGTCAGATTCCCTGTAGAAACAAGGAAAAAAAAAAGAGCAGGTGAGTAACAGCACCCAAAGAGCACCAGCAATAACTCATGGAAATGACTCCTTGGTGCCTGTGTCCAGACAGGTCCTGGTTGTGCTGGACATGATGGTGTTATCCTGGCAGCCTCCCTGGGAAAAGTGTCCTCCCACCTTGACCCAAATCCCAGGGTGTGGCATTGCTCAGTGGGAGAGTGTGGGAACAGATGCTCATGATGGTGCCACTTCCTTTGGCACTTGTATGGTGGTGGGAAGGGAATGTGTTGGAGCTGGTGCTTGTGGGGGTCCCCATCCCTGTCTCCATCCCTGCCATCTTCCTCCCTATTCCCACATCTATCCTCATCCCCATCCCCATCATCTTCATTTCTGTCCCATTCCCATTATTGTCATTCCCATCCCCATCTCCACCTTCTTCATCCTCATCTTTATCCCTGTCCTCTTCACTACTGTCCCCATCATCCCCATCCCCATCATCTTCATTCCTAACCCCATTCCCATCATCTTCATTCCCATCTCTATTTCCATCCCCATCCCCTCCCCATTATCTTCATTCCCATTCCCATCATCTTCATTCCCATTCTCATCCCCATTCCTATCCATATCCTCTTCATTCTCATCCCCATCCACTTCATTCCCATCTCTATTTCCATCCCCATCCCCTCCCCATTATCTTCATTCCCATCCCCATCTCCACCTTCTTCATCCTCATCCCTGTCCCCATCATCCCCATCCTCATCATCTTCCTTCCCATTCTCATCCCCATTCCCATCACCATCTTCATTCCCATTCCCTCCTCAGCATCTCCATTCCCATTCCCATCCACATCATCTTCATTCTTATCCCCATCTCCATTTCCATCCCCATCATCTTCCTTCCCATTCCCATCCCCATCCCTCACCTGTTGGAGTGCTCAGCAGCCACCTCATAGATGCTGATGTGGAAGCTGCTGTTGATGTGTTGAGGAACTCCTCGTGCCTTGTAGATGCGAAACTCAGCGGCTGTCACCGATTCCCCCGTGGGGACCTGGGTCAGGTCGAACCTGAACTCCTTCCAGTATGGCTTTGGTGAGAAGATGTCCCTGTCCTGCTCCACTGCAGAGCAAAGTGGTCAAGGGAAGGCTGTAGGAGACCCTGATGGGCTTATCCAAATCTACAGTTCCACATCGAGTCCCACTGACCTGATTTGTCCCTGATTTGGGGATGAACCTGTTGGCTCCAAGCCCTTCACCCCACTGAGCTCTTGGCTGCAAAATCCTCTCTCCTCTCCCAAGAGTTTTAATCTCGATACAAGTCTGTGTGTCTCCCCCATTGTTGCACACCCAACAACCTCTCAACCTTCCTTTGTTACTGATTGCAATAAAAAACCAAATTAAAAGCACAAACATTAGCTATGGGATGAGCATGGAGATGCTGCCACTCACTCCTGCCATGGTTTAGGAGCTGCAGCCTTTGTGCTTCACCAAAGGGTGAAAAACCCACACAAAAATTTGAGGTTTTGGGGTCAGCAGAACCAGCTGGAGCAGGAATTGGAGGTTTCCAACCCTTTCTTCCAGCAGATGCTGAGAGGACAGCTCAGGGTTCACTAGGGGCATCACTGGGTACCACAGGTCCTCTCCTGCCCACGAGTTTGAGGCTGATGACATTCTCAGCCTATAATTGGGGGTGGGTTATCAGGTCACTGCTGGGTAAAAATAAAACCTCCTTTTTTGACTGAAAACACCTCATTTCTGCATCAACCCAATGCACGTTGGGAAAGGAGAAGTCTGCAGATTTCTCAAGTCCATAAAGAGCAATCCAACATCTTTCTTTATGGGAAATGCAGCCCCAGACAGTGTCTCTAATATGTAATTATTTGCTTCAGATTGTCCTGTAAAAATATTCCAATCTACTTGGTCTGAATAGAGGTAAAATATATGATTCAATGTGATTCAATATGACTAAAGCTTCTCCTGCTTCAGGCACAAACCCCACGTAACCCATCCAACCTGGTGCTTCCATTTGGAAAGTAAACTTCCCAATCTAAGTAATTCAATAAAAGAAATTCATGTTTTAGATGAACTTTTAACCCATTTCAGGGGAAAAAATAATCCAAATTGAACACACCATAAAGCTATCACTCCCATTCATGGGGAGAAGCTGAGAAACTGAACGCTGAGATTTCACTTATGTATCCACAGGTCCTTTTTTTTTTTGCCTTTCTTCTTCGGTTTTTTTCCCCCTTCTTTTTTTTTTTTTTTTTTTTTTCAAATCCCACATTCCCTCCAGCTCTGGCCTCACCACAAGCTATGCTATAAAAAAGCACTGGGCCAGGAGGGCAGGGCGGATGCGGAGAACGTTTCCTGCTCCAACAGAGCAGCTGCCAACTTTGGCAGGAGGATGCTGTGGGGAGCTGGATCCAGTCTGGGCACCCCTTGGAAGGACACATCAGATCCCAAACCCACTGCAGCTCTTCCCTCTCTTCCATTCCTTCCACCAACCCATTGCTGATGGTCTCATACTCCTCAGTGATGCTATTGAAGCTGCTGATGCCTCTTATCTCTTCCAACCCCCCAAAACACAACTAGAGGAATCACCTCTGGTTTTTTGGCACTGGTAAACCCCCAGTGGGACATCCCCCAGCCAGCCCAGGGGACACTCAAGTACAGAGAAATGTCCTGTTGAGTATTTTAGTTCACTTAGTTATTTCATTAGGCTCTTGAGTCACCCCTAGCATCAGGCAAGACCCAGTCGGACTAAATAACAGCTCTGAAAAGTTCCCAAGGTGATTTTTCACCCTGAAGAAGGGTGAAAATCTTTGCTAAAGCAGCAGTTTGTCATGAAAACTTCCCATCAATGCGCTGTGGAGTTGTTGGAGAAGTCCAGGGCCAAAGGCAGAGTTGGAGCTGGTGGGACAGAAGCTCAGGGACACACCTGGGCAGTAAGAGAAATGCTAAAGGGATTGCAATTAGCTGTTCAGCTTGATGAACTTAATGAGCTGGATTTAACAGCAATCTGCCTAGAATTTGGGAGGAGAGACTGGGAGGAATCCCTGGATTCTCTGCCCCTTTACAGAGAAGAAGGAGAGGGAACACCCTTGGAGGGGCAGGACCAAGGGAGAAGCATCCCCTCCTGTGCTGCCACCAGGACAGGAACAGCCACAATGAGCAGGTTGGAGAGATTTTAATATCACCATGTTCTCTGTCAAATTATAAACAGCTGCTAAATTACAGCTCTGCTCGGGGGAGAGGCTGTGGCAGCTCTGCAGCAGCCAGTGGGTGCTAAAACACTGCTGGGGGTGTGCTGGAGATACCCCCCTGGCTCACTGGGAGCCTGTTGTGCCTGGGAACCTGCTATTGATTTGAGGCAAGTTGACTCAGCCTCACCACCAACCCTCAATTAGCTGTGGGCGGATTATCCGGATTGCGGATGAGACACACTAAAAAAGCTCAAGCCAAGCACTTTGCTCTCCTTGCCCCCTCCTTTGGCATTTACTGGCTCACCCCAAAGAGCTGCTGAGTCTTCTCCCCAAAGCTGAGTGACACCACTGGGCTATGTGCTCCCACCGCCCCCCAAAAATGACATCAAACTGGTGATACACCTATATAGACGACTTTGCAGCTTCTAGAAGGGGATGCTCAGCTCCAACTGGGCTGTTCCTCCCAGTCCCAGTGTGCTCCTGATCTCTTCCCAGATCCCACCCTTCCTCCTGCTCCCCAGGTTATTCTTAGCTGCACTTTTTCATTGTCAACTTTCTCTGTTGCTATAAACCGTGCATCAGTCGTAATTACTGGTCCTGGCTGCTCCCGATGGTCCCCACGATCATTTCAGGCACTAAATTAAAAGGAAATGCCAGGATATTCAACCACATCAAGTGCTCTGAAGCCTAAAATAATTTGAAAGGAGATGCAGGGAAGATGCAGGAAAAAAAAAAAGAAGCTCCAGAGGCTTTCTGAAGCAGGGAGAGATTCAGCAGTTATCCTGAGTGCTGTGAAATGCAGCTGATCCTCAGCCAGGCTCCCAGTTTGGCTCAGGAGTGATTCTTCCATCCTTCTGGGATGAACACAGGGAGCTGCAGGGCACAGGCCTTGGCACCAGGCAGCCCCAGCCCAGCTGTTTGTGGCTGGGAGACAACCTTGGCCCCTGCTGCATCCCCCTGCATCCTCCAGCCCTAGCACACAACTGTGTCCTGGGGGGATCCCAGGGATTTATCAGCAAAACTTTTCCCATTAAAACACACATGGAGAGTGCACACAGAGCACTGACACCTTGGCATGGGCTGCTGGAAGACACTGCCCTGTGTCCTGTGGATGGATAACCAGAGGAGGAGGCTCAAACAGCTGCAAAATGAAGCCAGGAGTGGGAAAATCCTGCCCCAGCAGCTGGATTTCAGTGGTAACTGTGTGGGGGTGAGGGCAAGAGGCTGACAGCAGGTGAGAGTGGAGCAGCACAACTCCTCAGCTCCCAAAATCCAATTAAAGCTGTTGCCATGAGCTCCCACCCCACACTAATGGCTCTTTGCTGTGCCTGGGGCTCTGTGGCTATTTTTGCCAAGGTGTCCTGCCTTCCTCCCCAGCACTTCCCAGGAAGATATTCAGTTGTGAGCAGAACTTCATTTGAAACAGCCATGGGGGAGTGTGGCCACATAGAATCCCAGAATGGTTTGGGATGGAAGGAACCTTAGTATTCATCTATCCCACCCCCTGCCATGGGCAGGGACACCTTGCTCCAGCCCAGGAGCTGTGGTGGATGCTGGAGGGGAAGGAAGGATGTGTGTTATGGTGTTGGTGTTGCAGGGGGCTCAGGCATGCTGTGAACCTCCTCCTCCTCCTCCTCTCCTTCCCCTTACAAACCTCTCTGCTCCATGATTATACCCTGCCTGTATCCGTAACTCACAGCCCAGGAGAAATCCCAAAGCCCATCCTTACCCCAGGCTTAAAAATACAACCCACCTGTGTCCTTCAGCAAAGAGCTCAGAAATGATATGGGTGAGGCTTTACCAAACTCTGAGAGGAGGAGATTTGATGGCACAGGCAGATCCACCATCACCAAACCCAACCCAAGGTGCCTGGTGCCCACTCCTCACCATTGCTACTCTCATCTCTCAGCCCAGCAACCACTCTGCCCACCCAAACTGGGATGTGCCTGTGAGCTGGGGAGGTTTGTCATTTCCCCTTCCCAGGAAAAAGGTGTGTCGTTGGGAGCTGAGCTCCAGCTTGGCTCACACAGGGTGGCTGGGAGCAAAGAGGTCCAAGTGCCCAATGGAGCACTGACTTACTCCATTTGCATGTCCCATCAGGATAATTGTGCAGCAAATTATGAATGCAAATGAGAGTTAGCCTTCTCCCACAAAGGCTTATTTAATTAACATGAAGGAGCTGATGAAGCCACAGAAATCAAAGCCATTCAAATTGAAGGCTGGAATTGTCTTCCCCAACTCTCCAGGCTGCCCCAGGAACAACGGGAAGGGGAGTGGTGCCAGTACCAGCACCAACACCAAAGGCTCCCCAGCACCCCCTGAACATCCCACCCTGATTGCCATCAAACCTGATTGTTTTAAAGCCCATTTCAATGTTTGTGTGTTGTCCTAAGGGCTGAGGAGAGCAGGGATTTGGTGTTCCAGCATCTTTCTCCTCCAGTCTCAGCTTTTCTAGGATGCTGAACCTCCACAGCAGGAAGACTCTAGATTTGAGCTGAGTGCTAGTTGTCTGTGCCCATGGGCACTGCAACCACCTCCTGAGCAGGAGGGTCTTCCTGAGGGAGCCTTCTTATACCCACACATGGTGTAGGAATTAATGGAGAGCACCTGGGAGACATCTCCACAGCCTCACCCACACCTCATCCCATCCACCCCTCCGTGCTTTGGGTCTCCAGAGAGGGTTTCTCCCCATCCTCAGAGCACTGGTTGTAGGGGATTCTGAGCTTAGCCTGGACAGGAAGACCCAAAATCCCCTTAAAACAACTAACAGAGGTAGGGAACAGCTCTGTATCCAAACAGCAGATTCATCCCACTGGGTTCAGGCCACCCCAGTGACTGCTCTTGGAGGGGACCCATCACCTCCCAAGAGTTTGTGGCCCCACTGATGCTGGAAACAGCTCTGCTCTTGCTCAAGCAA